CAAGCTTTTTGTACGTCCGCAGCACCCTTGCAATTACTTTGGACAAGCGAAACAAGCGTTTCTCAAGTGCTTGGGCTTTGATTCGGATCGTGATAATTGTAACACCAGAAGACATGCTAAAGAAGATTAATGTATGTTCTTCTTCACCCTAAAATATAAAAAAGAATGCCAATGACTCACTTCATATTAATTGCTTCCCATGTTCTATACCTTTTTTATTGTTTAAATCTTGAGATTCTAGCTTGTTTTAATGTAATCTGTTGTTTTCAGGGAAAATGCTGCTATATTTTAGTTCCTTTAGACAGAAGTGTCTGCCTTTGTACAAAGATCAAGGTCTTGGAAAGAGCAGCTGCTAGCCATTTTAAAAGTGTATTTGGATGCCTTGAGATTTTGTAAATCACATGATCCTTTTAAGGACAGGTGTAGTTTAACCCACAAAATGTTTGTTAAGCAAGATTTAACCCTTCCTTAGTCTTCAAGTTGTCAAATTGTATCTTACCCTGTATATAGCAGCTTTATATTGAGCTGAGCTAATGACTTCTTGCCTTGTCATTATAAGAACTTGCAATTGCTATTCTTCTAGTAAGGTGTTTCACAATATATGACGGTTTGATTGGTTACAAGGTTTAAGATATTAATTGACTAATAACTTGTTTGGATAGTTGTTATATATCGTTTCATGATGTATCGTATTTGTATTATATTGTATTGTATTGTATTATTTTGATCAATATAATATTTGTATAGATTGTATTGTTTGCTTTCGTTTCATGATGTCACGTACCAACAATATGAAGAATAAAATTATAATATTACAAAGAAAAAGTAGGATAGAGGATATAATTATTATATAAAAAGGCAAGATAAAGGATAAGATATGACTATTTAATAATAAGGGCAAAATGAGAGAAAAATAAGATAACGATGTGATCACACCAAATTGGTTGATATATATAGTGATATTTTTCGTTGTTACAGCATAACGGATTTAAGAATACAGTACAGTAAAATTTAAGTAACAATTAAAATAAATATTGTATTTAAAATAACAATACGATACAAAACAATAAGTAACAATCATCCAAATAAGTAGTAATGTATCATATTAATAGTAGTAAGAGAAAATATTAAAGAAGTGATTGAAGAGTTAGTTTAATACAGAACATTATATGAAAGTTAGAAATTTATATAATTAAATTAATTTGAATTCCTGAATGTTGTTTGAAATGATACTAATGGTAGAATGACGTCTAAATTGGAATGTTTCAAAAATGAAGTATG